AAGATTATTAGTAAGTAGAAAATGAAACTAATCATTCCATAAATAATTGAATTTTGCAAAGGAGTCAGCCTTTAAATATAAATTAATTTTAGCAATAGCAATTATTGTTTTATATCTCAGAAAGCAAAACTATCAGGAATCGCGAGGCTTCAGAAAACGATGATGGTATTGAATTGGAAACTGAACAGATTCCAGAAGCTGACGAGGTTAGTTGTACAAAAAAAATTACTTACAAAAAAATGAAAACGGATTGAGTGTTGATTTTTTTGTCTTTTAGAATTCTTAAAGACTTTAAGAATTCTTTGCTAGAATGAAATTAAAAAACCAGTAAGAAATAATAATAAAGTAAAAACAAAATGCTTTCAAAAGTGTGAACGTTTGTTTTGTACAAATACATTTCACGTTATTTGATAGGGTGGCGTAGAAAATGACGACGTCAGCAGTCGTTTATTGGAAAGAAAAGTTGCGCAGAATAATTTTAATAAATACATCGAGAAGCAGTTTCTGCAAATGAAAGTGAGATAGAAAATTGTTTTTGTACGGTAATTTGATTAAGTTCGAAATGATTATAACACGAGGATTGTACGGATACAGTTCGCCTGTATGGATACAATTTTATATACAAGACACTGCGCAAAACATTTCATTACTACTCTGCAATAGTATTTTCAGTCTAATGCTACACAAGATATAGTCGACGATATCAGAGAAGTCATCGCAACGTTAAACATCTCAGAAGTACAAATCGATGATATTGTCAAGGTCATCGGGAATGTTAGATCTACGTCTAATTTAAATGTATCTTAGGTGTATAATTTAGATGTATATGATCTACGTCTAATTTGGATGATATCTGAGAAGATCAAAAGATCTTTTTAAAAAATCCTATCAAGATCTTAGAGTTTTAGTCTTAGTTTTCACACTTTTTGAATAGCAAATTCAAAAAATGTGAAAACTAAGATTAGAACTCTAAAAAGTTAGCATGGAATGATTTATAGATTATCGATGAAGAGTTGAAACGGCGTTTTGGCGAAGAAATGGATGAATTAAAGTTGTTTTTAGCTACTCAAAGGCCAAAATTATCTAGCTCAAAATTGCATACTTTGCATAATTCAGGCGATAAAGTAACGTTTTTCCACAAGATAAAACTATCTGTCTATTTGAATCAGAAAATATTTACCATATAATAAATTTGACCAGTATTCGCACTGCAAAATTGAAAAAGTTGCAATGTGCTCATATGCCAAGAAAATATGTGCACTTCAAATAAATGTTGCTACTACGGAAACTCTTTTTGAATAAAATCGAGTCAGAATATGATAGATAGATAGATAGATAGATAGATAGATAGATGAGAAGATCAAAAGATCGTTTTAAAAAATTCTATCAAGATTTCAGGTTGCAGAATCAATCGATCAATTTCCTGAAGTTCAAAGTGCTGATAATAATTACGAAGAGCAGATTAGACCACATGAAAAGCATACGGCAGACACCCGTCTAAGATTCGACGAACGTCGTATCATTGATGACTTTCGAATAATACAAGAAGAAGTTTCTGAAGGGTCTACTGCATTGCCTTTGCTAATCGAATCTGCTAGAAACGGTAGTTTGATCAACATCACACCATAATTTGTTGCTTTAAAATGTAATAAATTTTAGGCAAAATAAAGACAGATTACATGATTCAAGAGCAAGCTGAATATGATCGGTTAGTAAGTGGAATTACTGAAAAAACTCCACGGACAGACTACGTTGATACTAAAACGAGAAGTTCCGCACATATAAAAACAACAAGCACTACTGAACCAAAAAGTTTGCAAATCATTCCTGGTAATATTTATATTCTTAAACATTTTTAGCAGCAATAAATATGACTAATCTTAAAACTTTAAATATTTTATTTGTAATTTTTCATTTTCAAAACTGCAAATATTATGCTTGAAAGTGTCAAAAGATTATCTACTAAAACGTAAATATGATGTTAAGCCATTTATGGAAATCCTCTCAGTTCAAGCTTTCGTGAAAAAACGACGTGGCAGCCAAGAAAAACAACGATTGTTTATAGAAAAGTAAGAAACGCCAATCTTTAACTTAGATGTTACTCTTTAGAGAGAAACATTTTAAGGTCCAAACCTGCGATAATTTTTCAAGATTTAAGTTTAGTTGTGATTTTTTCTTCTGTCAAATTGTGTTAATTCTGATGAATTGGAGAATATTTTAGTAAAAATGTGACCTTAATTTGTTTAAGGTAGTCTCAAGTCCCAAAACAGTTTTTGAACGACAAGCAGAAGATTTTCGCAGTAGACTACTAGGAAATAATGGCTTCGGTGACATTTTGAAGGCGTTGAAACATGCAAACATCGGCTTCTATAGAAGGTTGCTATGATTCTTCGGATTTGTCTTACTTCTTAATATTTTTTTCTCATTGAGTAAACTAAGACAGAAACTTTGTAGCAAAACTTTAACCTTCAGAAATGTTTCTGAATTATCCCTAGCTCAGTATGAATACAAGCTGCATAAATGTATTGCAGAAACTGATAGATAATGGAAAGAGTTTCTGGAGCGCTAGCGAGACATATCATCGCAAAAATAACATTTAGGAGGCGCCAGCACTCAAAATCACTCTTTCCTGCAAAAAATTTTTCTTCGAATTGTATTTTATAAAAATGCGTGTACATTATTTTGTGAATACTAGCGTATATAACTTTGCTTATTTTTTGTAAAATTCATATATAAAATTTAAAATGCAATTTTTTATTAGCATCATCAATTACTTTTGAATTCAAGGATAGATATCAGTTGTTTATATATGAATAACATTCACGTAGTTAGCGGAAAGTTTTTGATAATATTGTGCTCAAAGATCACGTTCAGAAATGGTTTTCTTCTGAATCTTATTTAAAGCAAATTTGACATCTGATTAGTCATTTCAAGAAATAAAGTGCTCAAGTAACCTTGAAATCAATCGTCCATCAAAGTTCAAGTCTATTATTTTGATTGAAAATAATGTCAGCTGATTTAATGCTCTCAAGAAAATTTGCATGTATCAACGTCAGGCTAATCTCTTAATTAACTTTCCATTTCTTGAAAAAAACTGGTATTTTATTATCTGTAATTTTATCACCTAGCAAACTAAAGATATATATATATATAT